GCACGGTGGCGGCAACAAACACGTGATATACCCTCAACCAACAGTACTGAGAGTCAAGCACGGTGGCGGCAACAAACACGTGATACCCTCAACCAACAGTGACATGCTGGTGGCCATCACTCCTGGCCTTGGTACCATCTGGGAATTTGTTAGAATTGCAAATTCTTGGAGCGCCTGAGTGGCTCAGTTCTTTGGACATCCGACTCTAGAGTTTCAGCCCAGGTTGAGATTTCATGGGGTGTGGGATTGAGCCCTGCACTGAGCCCCACATTGGGCTCCGCGCTCAGCGGGGGGGAGGGGTCTAGCTGAATATTCTCTCCCTCTATTCCTCCCCCATTTGTGCTCATTTGTGTGCACTCTCTCTAAAATAATTAAATAAATCTTAAAAAAAGAAGAAAAAAGAATTGCAAATTCTCAGGCCGCATCCCAGACCCACTAATCGAACTCCAGGGGTCAGGGAGCAGCAATCTGTTGTAACACGCTCTCCAGGTGGTTCGGACACAGGCAGAGTTTGAATACCACTCAATATTCTTCCACAAAACAGCTAAGAAATCATTTACACAGACAAGAAAAGAATAACTCTCGCCAATAATAAAGAAATTGGTTCTTGAGGGCTAATGATAAAATAGATCAGAGAAAACCACCAGTTTGAAAAACCACATCTTCAAAAATCTCTAATTTAATCAGAGAATTTCAATCCTAAATTCAATCAATAATTTATTTAGTCAAGAACTCGGTACTGAGCACCTGTATGCATATTACTGGAAGAGACAAGACACCTCTGCAGCCTTCTCCAGAAACTGAGGATTTTTGCCTTCAATACAAGACAACATATTCTGGGGTTGTTGTCATTTTCTGTCACACGTAGTACTTGCTAGGCTGCACAGAGACCCTCTGACGATCCTACATAATGGCCTTAATTATAAGGATGGTTCTCTTCCTAAGTACCGTCCACGGAGATTTACTTCTCAGTTGATGGATTTCATCATCTTAAGCCAGAAGGTGTGAATTTCTTTGAAGGATCATTTAGATTAGTTCTCTTCCACTGGTAAACTCACTCTAGACGAAGTGGTTTTTATTTTATTTTTTTTAAGATTTTATTTATTTATTTGACAGAGAGAGACACAGTGAGAGAGGGAACACAAGCAGGGGGAACGGGAGAGGGAGAAGCAGGCTCTCCACTGAGCAGGGAGCCCAGTGTGGGGCTCCATCCCAGGACCCCTGGATCATGACCTGAGCCGAAGGCAGATGCTTAATGACTGAGCCACCCGGGCGCCCCTAGATGAAATGGTTTTTAAACGTGGTGTTAATAACCCAAGAGGGCTGAGCCTACCTAACACCAAGGACACCGTTAGTAATTTCAGCTTAAAAGAAACCTATTTTGGGGCGCCTGCGTGGCTCAGTCGTTAAGCATCTGCCTTCGGCTCAGGTCATGGTCCCAGGGTCCTGGGATCGAGTCCCGCATCGGGCTTCCTGCTCTGCGGGAAGCCTGCTTCTCCCCCTCCCCTGCTTGTGCTCTGTCTGTGAAATAAAGAAATCTTTAAGAAAAATTAAAAATAAAGAAAAGAAACCTGTTTTGATCGGAATTGGAAGGCAGATCAGCTCAGAGCTCCTCTCTCCCCCCCCACAGAGACACCCCTTGCTCCTGGGGATCAATAAGACTTTGCCAGAAAGGACGGCCCCTATACTCCCCCAGAGCGCCAGGGGCAGCTGAGATGTTTCCAAGAGCCACAGACCTACACAATCGATCTCATCTCTAGGTCACCAACCAGCATCACATCTAAAACACACTGGCTTCAAAAACCTAATTACATACCTTGGAAAAAGATTTTGTGTGACCAGATGGACAGGAAAGCCTAGGATCCTTCTGGGGGATCTGAGCCCACAGATGGAGGAGCAGAGGGGCAGGGAAGGAAGTCACTTCTGTGAATGATAACTCTGAGGCCCTTCTCAAGAGATACCTGGAGGATCCACCCCTGGCAGAGGGTTGCTGTATGCACCTCATAAGTAACAAAGCAATAAAGTAATGTTTCTGTTTGTGTTTTTGCAACAATAAACAGAAGTGAGTGAATAAAGACCATAGCAATTCTGTATGCTTTTTATATGGAAATACATATTTCAATAGTTGGGTTTTAGAGTTATCTGATGATTGTTTCCCTTGCACACTGCTGGGGTGAGAAAAACCACCCACCTGTCTGGCTTGTGTCCACTGTCAGGACATGACTGGTGAAGAGTTCTCGAAATTAACGTGCATATATCTTATGTCTCAAGTTTACCTGTTAAAGCTTTAGTTCATAAGTTTTATTTAAATAAATATTTTACTTAGCATTCTCTCGTTTACTAGAGCATTCCTGGCCAAAAGAAAACAAAATTAAAAACCCTGACAACTCCACGCTTGCAAAGTGAATCTTCACTCTGGCTGGGTAAACTTCAAGAGCCTATTTATTATAAGCAAAAAAAAAAAAAAAATTTCATTCAGGTACAAACAGAGTAGAATGCATTGATATCTCGATATATTAAGCTCTAAGTGTACAGGGATGAATGTCTCATTTCGTGCTTGCAAAATGACACTGTTATGCCACTCCTCCTAATGAATCCAAATACAGTGAATGTGGCTCTAAAAAGTGAAATTCAACTGTTGGCTTGTGACTCAAATGTGTATTTGTAACACAGTTATTTGAAAAATCTTCAGATTATTTTTACAAATGGAAAGAAAACCGGCATTGAGGTTTTGAAGCCATTTCTCTTGACCCATGATGTCAGGTGGGTGGGTCAGGAGGCGGGCGGTCACGTCATCATCTCGTCACGTGTGCGTTCGTGCACCTGGGCAGCAGTTGGGGACTTGGATCTACCACCCACAGAAACTGCTAGGACCTGACAAGACTCTCTAGACCTGTACACGTATGTACACATCCATACACAGACTGTTGAGAGCACACAGAAGAAAGCTCCACCACAACAGCCCCAGCAAATGAAGGCCTGGGTCAAACATGGCACCTTCTTTTCAGGAAAGGTATCACTTCGTCTCACTTCAGGCTGTAAGAGTCTTCTGAGACGACCTGCAAGATTTTGGTGAGTCAAACACCCTCATAAAGCTGAGAAATATACGGCTAATTAGCTGTCTTAGGTCTCTGAAACGAGGGAATGCTTATGATGACAAGAAAACTGACACTGAGGAGAGGAAGAACCACTTCTGCTCCGTCTGAAGAAGAACCTCCAACTCTGGGGGAGAAGACGCTATTCCACATGCCTGCCCTGGTTTGGTCCAAGACTCACTCCACAACAGGCAGAGCCCCAGTAAGTGAGGAAGGAGGGAGAGAGGGGCTGTGTGTGCTGAGAAGAAACAAGCACGTATGTGCAAACTCGAGGGCCCTTCAAGAGCTGTGTCTGGGGAAAGGAAGCCCGATTTCCAGGTACAACCTTCTTGCATCGTCGAAAACATCGCATCTCAGGACGCTGGTGAGACGAGAGACGCAAGAGCACCCACGCACACAGATGAGACACATGCACGCAGCTTACAGCTCACGAGTGCGCACGTCCGGACGTGTGTCTGTAAGCGGCGTGTGCACCCACAGATGGGAGCACAGAGTGGACACAGGGGTGTGATAAAGTACGCCAGTAATGAAGTTTACTTTTCTGCTCCTTGCCTGGTCAATTTTAATTCTTTCTCCCTCCTAATTTTTAGGTAATCTGTAATTTTTCTGCTCCCCTGTGTTTCCTTTCCATTTTGTGAAAAATATCTGTGATTTCTGTTTCTACATTTCTACTATTTAAGAAAGCAAGCTAAATCACATGTGCTGTTAGAAGGAAGCCCTTTTTAAAAAGAACACTCTGGCCACTCTATCAGGAGACTCACTGGAAACACACCATTTATGAAATCAACCTGCTTGAAACTCTCTCAGGAGAACAAGAAAATCAGATTTGTGTCCTGAGGTGACGCCCCTTCTACCGACAGGACCGCTGGCCTCACGTGGGAACGACGGCTCCCATCATGCAACAAGGGCCTTTTGCACCCGGGCCGAGGCACCTGTGCGCATCAGGTTTCCTGAGACAGGTGTATGGACGGCAGGCATCAGAGGACGCCACGGTTTTCAGCACACGCTGCCTGAGCAATGGAAAATACCCGTGACACAAACAGGACGGTCTGTCTCCATTTTAGTTGAAAAACCATCTGGCATTTTTCCTCATGGATACAGAAAAGTATTTAAATATTAAAATCTTGTCATTTTCATATCTTTATTAACATAAGCACAAACAAAGAGTCATTCATGTAAATTATCAGCACCAAAAGCTCAGGATCCCACTCGAGTCTTCCAGTGATGGAAGCCCTGCACGCAAGCTCTTCTGGAGCCCGGCCCTGACATGCAGCCCGCGCAGACACACGCAGAACTTTGTGGGTCCGGTAGTGCCAAGGAGGAGGCTTGCTTAAGCCCCAGAAGTAGTCTCTGTGATCATGATATGGCTGCCAGAGTTTATGAAAACATTTCAAGGAGTGGCCTTTAAAACTAACTCATAATATGATGATGAGCCAAACGGTCTCTTTAATTCAAACCATGAAGAAAACTATAATCCCTCTTCATATTATTTTTGGAAAGATACAATAAGATGGAAATCACATATATAATAAAACATTTCTGAAAAATTATTTTGGCTATCCTTTAAAAATATCTCTTGCTGTATAAACAGATGTTAATTCATCTTCATTTTTTTTTTTTTTGATAAATACCTTTTTAGGTTTGAATATATCACTGGCTGAGAGAATAAGGAAATATTCCCTATAGTAACTTTCCTCACCTCTCCCAATACAATTCCATTTTTAAGAAAATTATTTTGCAGTGCTCACACCCTTATTTGGTAAACTGCAGACTTGCATGATGGGAACAACAGTGGCATGAGAGAATTTAACGCATACAAAAATGGAATATCAAAGTTTTAGAAAAATACTTGTCCTCTGAAACAATGGCAAGGAACACTAAAAATAAACCCTCACCACCCTCCTCATCTTTAACCTGCCTTTATGTACAACACTACCCCCCACTCAAATTCTTGACTTTTTTCAGATACTAAGAACTCGCAGGAACAAAGGACAAAGGACTTCAGCTAATTTTTAGGTGAACTTTGTTTTTTGTTCCCTCCCCTTATAGGTTTTAAGATAACACTCATGAAGAGAAAACTTATTTTTCCAGCTGAAATAACTTTCCTTTATCTTCCCTTTCCAGTTCATCAAAACATACTCTCAGTAGTAGGAAGGAGAACTGACTCGAGCAGAATATCAAGAATCCAACCCTGTTGATTTGGCAGATAATTGCTGAGCGAAGTCGAGGCACTGGGCCCTGGGGTCAGGCGGCAATGGGCTTGGGCCCACAGCTGTACTCCTCTTGGCCTTGCTCTCCCCTGATGTAGACCTTGAATAAGGGCCCAGGCGGAGTGAGGCAGAGCAGACAGCAGACTGGCCCAGGGTCCACCTGTGGAACAAAGGCCCATTCCTTTGCTGTTTCAGAACGTTAATAGACAGGTACATTCCTTGTGGGCCCAGGGTTGACATGAAAATTAGTATATGTGCAGTTCTGAAAAAACATGTTTCCACAATGGATCCATTGTTGGACTTGTATCATATGGTGAACAAATGAGTGATTTATTGAAACCAAAACTGTCTGTACCTGGAATGTTCATCTGCAGAGGCCTGACGAGGTCCGGGTGCCTCAGTGGGTTCCCAGAGTACACAAACCACTCCTTGACAGTGGGGCAGGTGCTGGTGCCATCTGAGTAAAGATAGCAGGATCAATAGATGCACATGACTATCAACATTCATCACCAGGCTGACGGTAACAGACCCAGCTCCACTGGGGGCCAACTGCAAGGTGGTGAGTACGGTGAGGTCTCACATCCAAGGACACTAAGAGGGGCCTCAGGCCCAACAGTCAGACCCCTACCCTCTGATCTCACTTCAACAAGAGCAACGACCTCTGGGATGGGGAGACGGCAGGGTAACCCAGGTCAGTAAACAGTAACGGGGGGCAGAGATCACCGCCTATGTGGCTCCTACGACGTCCTTCCTCCTGGGCTCTCACACTGCTGCACACAACACTTAGGGAAGACTGGTACTAGGACAGTCCTTTCTTTAATTCACTGTTTTGTGTAACCATCAAGACTATTATTACATTAGACAATTCAAAAAGCTAGTAGGGATAATCTAGAACAAAGGCATTTCTGTATGTTGGATTGTTAATTGCTATTAAAGATTCAGTTTCTCTTCCATTCTATCTACTCAGTGAGCAAAGATGGAAGGTGGCTCTCCTACCCACCATGCTCACCTAGCTTGGGGTCATCAGGCTGCCATCTCTCCAGCACCCAAACCCCTGCCTCCCCTCCCCCAGGGCACTCAAGACCACCCCCGGGCCCTTTGGGACCTGGCTTCCTACCCCACACGGGCCCACCCCTATCTTCAGACTCACCCCATCCAAGGCATTTTCCACGTAAATTCGAGCTTTTGGGTTTTTGCTGTTTTACAGTGAAAACCTGACCAGGCTGCTGGTCCTAATTTAAGATCCCGCAACAGCAGCCCACTGTACCAGCCTCAGAGTGCAGACCTGGGAGCATGCCAAGCTCCCCCACTCCCACCCCACTGCACGCTGCTTGACCCAGCACCCTCTCCTAGACCCGCACACAGTGACTGGAGGGCCCCTGAGTCTCGCCTCGCCAGTCCGCAGGATATGCGCTGTTTGGGCTGGGTCCCCAGGGAACCCGGCTCTGGCTCCCATCCTGCTCCTCGGCTGGAGTACCTCACATCCTCAAACTCACCATGCCTTTTCTCACCTCCTCGGCCCAGAACCCCTTCCCTCCACGCACTCCAGGCCCGCTTCTCTCCATGCCCAGACTTCCGTGCTGTCCACTGGGGCACTTCTGCTGACACTGCACATGCTTACTTACTCCCCTCACTGACCACCTGACTGAGCTCCTGGTACCAGAACTGAGACCTCTTCACAGTCTCAGTCCCTAGCATGAGGCCCAGGGCAGACGCCTGTTAACCCTAAGTTTAATGAACACATTAACCTAAATTTCACACACACAAAAAGAAAAAGAAAGAAAATTCTGAGAAGTATTCTTGTAGTTGTTAAAAACAACAGCAACATCCACTATGTGATCCTCTTGGCCTATAGGTATTCATTACACTAAAGAACAGCCAGCTGAGTGAATGGTGTTTTAAGTTGCTATTTCTGAAAGGAGAGCATTCTCTCATGCCCAAAGACAGACCTCACTAGGTTGCGTACCTCACGGATGACAGCTCTCCACCAGCCAGCCAGCTGCCTCCTTAGGAAATCACTGAAACATTTACAAAACCGCATTTTATACCATCTTTCAACTGAAACTGTTCTAAACCTCTAAACCCCGGGGCCTGGGGTTGACTTCTCAGAGCTTTAGTTCTGAATAATGTTAAGAAGAAGGCACTGCTACTGTTTGTTAGACAATACCAGGTAGATTTCCTACTAAGACCTAGAGCAGTCAGTTTTTGGACAAATATTCCAAAGGCAATGCCACACACTAGTCAGTTATTCCGCTACAACCTCGGAAGAAAGAGCTGCCCACTGAGACCACCTCACCAGGATCTACAAACCCCGCTTCTGCGCAAGGGACACACCGGGCTGAAGACCAGCATGGACACCAACTTCCCCTTTCTCCAAAATTTACATCAGCACAGATAGCAAATTCCTTCTTTTCTCCATCATTTAGACCAGTGAGGATTAAGTCCATATTAACTACAGTTTCTCCTAATTAACCACAGAACAAAAGTTTTTGCTTTTAAGGTGACTGACTTAATTCCAATGAGTTTCAAGGACCACACAACACAGTCACAGAACAAGAGTGCACCTGCTGCTTAAAATGCAGTACCTAACAGCTACTGACTAACAGAGACTTGAATATGAAAACCTGTAATTTTTATCACATAAGAAATCAACTAACTAGCCAGAGGATGAAAGGTAAAACCGACCTGCTGACTGGAATTTTTACTCCCTAAATGAAATTTTATTTGAACTTATGGGTAAGGATGCAGGAAATGATGGAGATATGAAAGATGAGTATTTTCTTGAGGTGCAGGGCAGGGAAAGGTGCTAGGTCACTATGCAGGGTCTGCAGGTTCTCTGGCACTCTGCCCTCCCCCTTGTGAGCTGCTGGGCAACATGGGCACCCTCAGTGTTCCCTCACTTCCTTCCTCTGCCACGGGAGGGTAAAAGGGCAGTGCACAGTGGCTAGAAAATGTGTGAACACTTACAAAGAATAAGTTTAATAGTCTGGATAATGACTTTTCCAAATCCAAATATTCAGATGGCAGCATTTTCACTTTTAATCCAAACTGCCGCTCCTACAGACACAAACTTACCAGTCCTTCAAAACCCAGAGCTAGCTGCAAAGTGTTACCTGAGATCCTCTTAAAATAAACAGATATTGCTGAAAAATCCTAGAGTTTAGCCTATTCTCTGGGATACCACATAATTTCAGAGGTTTTTCTATAAAACTCCTTAAAGAAAACAGAGGCAATAAACTCTTGGACATTGGTCTAAGCAATATTGTTTTTGGATTTATCTCCTGAGGCAACAAAAGCAAAGGCAGAAAAAGCAAAAATAAACTATTGGGATGTCATCAAACTAAAAAGCTTCTGCCCGGGGCACCTGGGTGGCTCTGTTGGTCAAAGCTCCTGCCTTAAGCTCAGGTCATGATCCTGGGGTCCCAGGATCAAGACCCACATCAGGCTCCCTGCTCAGCGAGGAGTCTGCTTCTCCCTCTGCCCCTCCCCCTGCTCATGCTCTCTCTCGCTCTTGCTCTCTCTCTCAAATAAATGAATAAATCTTTAAATAAATAAAAAGCTTCTGCCCAGCAAAGGAAATCATCAAAAAAACAAAAGGTAACCTAGTGAATGGAAGAAGATATTTGCAAATGACATATCCAATAAGGGATTAGTATCCAAAATATATAAAGAACTTATACAACTCAACACCAAAAAAACAAGCAATCTGATAAAAAATGGGCACAGGACCCGAACAGACATGTCTCCAAAGAAGACATCCCCAGATGGCCAAGAGACACTGAAGAGGCTCAACATCACTCATCATCAGGGAAATGCAAATCAAAACCACAGTGAGATATCACCTCACACCTGTCAGAATGGCTAAAATTAACAACACATGAAACAACAGGTGTTGGGAGGATGTGGAGAAAGGGGAACCCTCGTGCACTGTTGGTGGGAATGCAAGCTGGTGCAGCCACTCACTCTGGAAAACAGTATGGAGGTTCCTCACAAAATTAAAAATAGAACTACCACATGAACATTTCTGGGCATTTACCTGAAGAAAATGAAAACACAAATTTGGAAAAGATATATGCACCCCTATGTTTGCTGCAGCATTATTTACAATAGCCAAGATACGGAAGCAGCCCAAGTGTCCATCGACTGATGGACGGATAAAGAGCTGACACACATACACACACAGGAGTATCAGTCAGCCATAAAAAAGAATGAAATTTTGCAACAACATGGATGGACCTCAAGGGTCTTATGCTAAGTGAAATAAGCCAGACAAATACCATATATTTTCACTTATATGCGGAATCTAAAAAACAAAACAAATGAACAGACAGAAACATACTCATAAATACAGAGAAGAAAGTGCTGGTTGCCAGAGACAAGGGTGGTGGGACAATGGATGAAAATAGGGGAAGGTGGGGTGCCTGGCAGACGTTAAGCGTCTGCCTTCGGCTCAGGTCATGATCCCAGGGTCCTGGGTTCGTGCCCCGCATCGGGCTCCCTGCTCAGTGGGGAGCCTGCTTCTCCCTCTCCCACTCCCCTTGCTTGTGCTCTCTCTCTGGCTGTGTCTCTCTCTGTCAAATAAATAAAATCTTAAAAAAAAAAAAAAAAGAAAAGAAAAAGAAAATAGGGGAAGGGGATTAAGAGGTACCGACTTCCAGTAATAAAATAACCAAGGCATGGAGATAAAAGTACAGCATAGGGAATGTAGTCAATAATACTGGAGTAGGTTTGTATGGTGACAGATGGTAACCATACTTAATATGGTGCGTGTTTTGTAATTTATACAAATGTCGAATCACCAAGTTGTACACCCGAAATGAATATAATATTGTATGTCAACTATACTTTAAATAAAAATTTAAAAAATTAAAAATAAAACTGCCTAAATAGGAAAAACAAAATTTCAAAGGTTTTAACCTGGCATGCACTTTGCAACAATTTGGTTCATCTGAATTAGAATGAAATAATCTTAAATGCCTAAAAATCAAGAAAAAGAAAAGAGGAAAACTGCGTTTGGCAATTCCTAAAAGAAAAGGCTGATTTTCTCAAACTTTCAATATGCTAGGCTCTACGTTCAAAGGAGTAAAGAACTTGAGAAAAGTTCTTTGCTAGTTTAACTCCCTTCAAGCTGTAACGTTTTATATGGAAAATGGAAAAATGACATAATCAAATTTGGTCTTCTGTTATTCCCAAAGGACAGACATATCGATCCACTCTGTACAATCTTCTGTATGTAACAAAGACATGTTCTCCAGGAGCAAAGTTGGGAAACTGTCCACACTTGCAGCCCCTCCCCCACGAAAACGCCACCTAGCCTATGCTGACCACTCTCACTTGGCCTGGAGGGGCCGGGAGGGTCTGTGGGTGTGCTCTCGGGGCAGGCAAGGGAGAGTGAGGAGAAGTCGTCAATTACAATCACTCAGTTGCTGGGATTTTTAAGTTTAATAAACCATCCCT